TCTCTCTCTCTCTCTCTCTCTCTCTCTCTCTCTCCCCTATGTCACCCCCAGCAGAGTGCCATAGCATCACAGCTCACAGCAACCTTCAACTCTTGGGCTTAAGCAATTCTCTTGCCTCAGCCTCCCAAGTAGCTGGGACTACAGGCACCGGCCACAATGCCTGGCTATTTTTTTCTCTTTTTGTTGTAGTTGTCATTGCTGTTTAGCAGGCCCTGGCTGGGGTGGAAACCTCCAGCCCTGGTGTATGTGGCTGGCACTCTAGACGCTGAGTTACTGGTACCAAGCCAGCTGTAGTTTCTAATTGTTCCACAATGCCCACCTGGACAAAGAGCTTCTTGGGATATTGCTGATTATCTCTTCTTTGGAAAATCCAGAGATTTTGCTTCTAAAAGGATGCTGCTTATCCTCCCTCTCTGGCTACACCTGCTTTGGCTTCCTCCCTGAAGCTCCTCCTGGGAGCCTTCCCTTGCCTGGCTCCTGGCTCAGTTCACAGGCATCTCATCCATACCCAAGGTTGTGACTCTTCCCTTGAGAAAAATGCTCAAGGTGGCAGCTATAACTCCTGAGTTTTGGATGTCCATTTCCTCATGGATGTCCGGGGCACCCTATCCCACATCTTCCTCTTTCTCACCTATTTAGACCTCTGATCAGCTGGTGGTTGGACTATGTCCCCAGTCACTAGGGCTAGACACTTCTCAGTGACAGGTAACTCCTGTCTCACCTCATCACCTGTATCCTGACACTATTCCCTTTCCAGCAGCATACCGCAGACAAAGTGAGGGCTCTCAGGCATGCCAGAATTCATCCCTGTGTCTCTGTGCTTAGATATCAGCCATTCCCATCCCCCCACATCCCTTATCTCTAGCTGGCCACATCCCAGGGCCAGATGAAAGGTTTCTACCCATGGAGTTCAATCTGGTGCTCCAGCCCTATGTATTACCCGCTTTCTTGTAAACTTCCCATGCTGTTTTATCAGCACATTCTCATGTTCCAGAGCACACTGCCCTTGTACTACACTTACGGACATCTGTGTAACATTCCCCTACCTACAAAGTGAGCTCCCTGTGAGCAGGATATTTACCTCATCTACCACCTCATCTACCATCTACCTCACTAACTTGTACATATTTGGGTTCAATAAATAAGCTTTGTGGTCATTAATCCACCATGTGCATTCTAGTCACATACTTGTCTGTATCTCCAGCTGGTGGGTAAGTTTCTTCAGGACTGGATTAAGTGTGATGCAGCTTTGTATCCATTCTATCAACTGAGCACTGGGTCTGGCACAACCTAAATATACAATAAATTCTGAATTAAATGAGTGAAATATACTCCACCAATCACTTAGTATTTATTGAACCTTGAGGAAGTCTAAATTAAAATTTTTGGATAAAAAAAAATAAAAGTTTTTGGGCAGCGCCTGTGGCTCAAGGAGTAGGGCACCAGCCCCATATACTGGAGGTGGCGGGTTCAAACCCGACCCCAGCCAAAAACAAACAAAAAATAAAAGTTTTGGCTAAAGCAGATGAGCATATAAAAGAAATAGAGAAGGAGAGCTAGAGCTAGAAGAAGAAATCTAGAAGAATTTGGTGTCACGGGAAAGGGAAGAGTTTAGATGGAGTTTAGTTTGGTAGTTTGCACCTCCACTGTCACAAATGGAGGTGCAAAAATAAAAGAGGGACCAAATAAGAAGACGAGTGGTTTAGCAGCATGGAGGTCTTTGGGGAGCTATGGAGAGCCATTTTTCCCTGGAAAGGAAAGGAATGGGAGCAGGGAGCAAGAGGAGTGAATGGGGGAGTAGACATGGAGAAGAAATATCGCTAATGTTTCACGAACTTTGCCTGTAGAAAGGAGAAAATTAATAGGGAGGCAAATCGATGTAGGAGGGGGATCCAGTGAGGATTTTCTTTTAAAGTAGGATATATATGAGTATGTTTAAAAGATGATGGAGTGGGAAAGACCTTCCTAAGCAAAATGTAAAACTCTGAATAAGAACTAAGAAATTTAATTACATAAAACTAATTCTTTTTGCACAAAAGCAGGTGACACATTGGAAAGAACATTTGTAACACACATAACAGATGTAACACTATCACAAATGGAGGTGCAAAAAAATGTATTTGTAACACCCCTCTACTTGCTGCCCAGCTCAGTTCCTTTTGTAGCAGAGGACAACCACATCAACAAAAAATCAAAAATGCCCTCAATGTAATTTAGTTGTTTTTAGTGTAGTCCTCCTTAATAGCCCAGATGACATGTTCTGTCTTCAAGGAATCCATCTGTAGACTCTATGCTGTCCTTGACCTTTGATTTCTATTGGTCAACATAACATGGCTGTAATGATGTGCTGCACATCTGTGTCTCCAATGACCTTGAGTTTGGAGGGAGTAGGGACATTCTCAGTGTCTAGTATATGCCTATGGCCTATGCATAGGTGTTGACCCTTGTTCATTAATAGGTACATAAATCCCCTGTGTGCGTCTCTGTTTTGGAGGGTTAGGTAGGACTATTTCTGCATTTGTCACATTCCTAGAAAGAGCATTTTCAGCCCCCAGCAAGCTCTCTGGTGCCCTTCTTTTTCTTTTTTTTTAAATTGAGACAGAATCTCACTTTGTAGCCCTCAGTAGAGTGCCATGGCGTCACAGCTCACAGCAACCTCAAACTCTTGGACTCAAGTGATTCTCTTGCCTCAGCCTCCCAAGTAGCTGGGACTACAGGCACCTGCCACAACGCCTGGCTATTTTTTGGTTGCAGCCCAGGCTGGATTTGAACTGCCAGCTCATTTGTATGTGGCTGGCACTTTAGCGGCCTGAGCCACAGACACCCAGCCTGGTGCCCCTTCTGAGTCAGCTCCACTTTACCCAAATACAGTGATGCTCTGATTTTTGGCACTATAGATTAGTTTTGCCTCTTTTTGAACCTCATATAGAATGAACTATAAACTTGTGTTTTTTGGTGCCTGATTTAGTATTTTCAGTATTATGTTTGTGAGACTTAAACAGGTGGATGGATGTGTGTGTATCAGTAGTTGGTCTTTTCCCCAGTTGCATGGTATTTTATCGTATGAATGGTGATTGTGGTTTTAATAATAAACTTTTTTTTTGCTTCTTAGAGGAAAGGCCTTTCCTAAATCTAGAATATTATTTAGCCAAAGTTATGTTTGGTATTGCCGTATTTTCTCCCTTTCCTATATGGTTCTTTGAAACATAAGGAAAACCAGAATTCATTCCCTCTTTCTCTTAGAAACCTCGATTTAAAACAATACACAAACAAACATGAATGAACTCTTACTTGAATTATTTTCCATAGAGTTGGATAGGAATTGACCTACCAGGTTGTCACTCTGTGGGACGACCCTTAATGTTAAGTTGGAGGGGCAGGGAGGGGATCATTGCGCAGAGAGCTCCCTGCCTGACTTGCGTTTCTGTCCCCACCCCTGTCTCCCCCGCACCGGCGAATTCCAGTAAGATGAGTCAGAAAACGGGCAAGGAGGGTCCCAGACTCTCCAAGAACCAGAGGTTCTCCGAGCACTTCAGCATACACTGCTGCCCGCCGTTCACCTTCCTCAACTCCAAGCGGGAGATTGTGGATCGGAAATACAGCCTCTGTAGGAGCGGCTGCTTCTACCAGAAGAAAGAGGAGGACTGGATTTGCTGCGCCTGCCAGAAGACCAGGTGAGTGGTCGCGCAGTGCGCGAGGCAGGGGGGCCTGGCGACGGGTCTCTGCTCTCACCCCGCTCTTCCCGCTCTGCTCCGTGGGGCTGGGACTGGGGCTGGGGCTGGGGCTGGGGCTCCGGGTTAGGTTCTGACATTGGAAAGCACTGCAGGGAGATTCGACGGTGGGAGGGGGCGCAGGGACTTCCAGTTTCCAGCTCCTGCCAGCATCTCTTAAGCAGCCGCCAAGGGCCACGGCTCCAGCCTCCAGCTTATTTTGACCCTCTCAGAACCAGCCGCCGTGCAACGTCCCCTCAGAGGCCCAAGGTCCAGCCAGCTGTGCCCCCCGCGGTGGTCAGAGCACCAGCCAAGCCAAGGTCCCCTCCGAGGCCCAAGCTCCAGCCAGCTGTGCCCCCCGCGGTGGTCAGAGCACCAGCCAAGCCAAGGTCCCCTCCGAGGACTGAGCGTCCGTCACGTCCCCGCCCAGAAGTCCGAACACCACCAGCCAAGCAGCGCCCCCCTCAGAAGCCTAAGCAACAACAGCGCAGCAGCCCCCTCAGAGGGCCAGGCGCCAGCCGTGGGGGGTCCCCCGTCAAAACTTCTAGGTTCTGGTAACACCATCTCTTCCCTTTTGTTCCCCAGCCCTAAGGTTAGTAGCTGCTTCCTGTGTTTACTAACATCCTATTAGAGGCTATTTCAATGATCCTCTTTCAGCCCTACCAAACCTGTGTAATCAACTCCCTGCATTAAATCCCCTCTGGTTGAAATACCTAGTGTGGTTTCTCTTTTTCTCCTAAACGCTATAGTGCATACGTCAAAGGTCCAGGTCCATTGCTTCCTTTGTCTAACAGAACTGGAAGGTATTAATTTATCAATTCAGATTATGGACTACAGTGACAGATTGAATAAATGTTTATCTTGATTCCTGTGCCTCAGACAGAGGAGGAATGGTGACTCTAACAGCATGTCTGTACTGTGAAAGGAGAGAGTTATCATTTTTATCCTTCCATCCTCCCAACACATTTCTTCTGATATTAATTTTAACAGCAATGCCATTCGTTCATTCACTCACTCATTCTGCTATTCAATAGTTATTGCATGCCTACAAAGTTCAATATACTGTGCTGGGAGAAGGGAATAATGGCGGTGAACAAGCCATGTTGTTTGAGATTCACCAGGTACAAATAAGAGAATAGTTTTTGGTCATAGTGTGAGATGTAAATGCAATAATATTGTCATGATCAGTATGCACATTGGACCAGAAGAGCCTGGAGCAGGGAGTAATTGACCCTGCCACAGAAGTTTTGGGGCTTTACAGAGGAGTTAGGCTAGGATGAGTAGATGGTATAAGGAAAGTGACCCATGTAGAGAGAAAAAGGAAAGCCAGAGAGGCATATGTTCATTGCAAAATTGAAAAGAAGATGCAGAGATGTCACCTATATCCCCTGACCCAACCTATGTTTAGCCAACTTTTCAGTCCTTTTAACATTTGGAAATGAATCGTTTTAGAGGTTAGTAGTGGATGTTGACTGAGTTTGAAATTCTCTTATCTCCTCCGATACCCAGCACCTGCAAAGCACAGTTCTATGTGTAGCTGTCACATGATAGTAGGAAGGAGGATCAACTGGGGAGCATGTTAACGATGCTCCTGGAAAATCTGATTTATTAGGTCATCAGTAATGCCTGGGGTTCTACATTTTTTTCTTTTTTTTTTTTTTTTGAGACAGAGACTTAAGCTATAACCCTGGGTAGAGTGCTGTGATGTCACAGCTCACAGCAACCTCAAACTCCTGGGCTTAAGCTATTCTCCTGCCTCAGCCTCCCAAGGAGGTGGGACTACAGGCGCCTGCCACGGAGCCTGGCTATTTTTGGTTGCAGCCATCATTGTTGTTTGGCAGGCAAGGGCTGGATTTGAACCCACCAGCTCTGGTGTATGTGGCTGGTGCCTTAGCCACTTGAGCTACAGGTACCACCCGGATTCTATGTTTTCAATAAGCACGTCCTTTCCCAAGGTATAGTTACACAGGCGGTACACAGACTATACAATGAGCAACATTGACCCAAATAATCTACATACAAATAATTCAGGTTATTTGTATTGTGTAGTAAAGAAATGTGGAGGGTGCCCACTTTATCATATCAGGCGCCTTCTCTGATATCCACTAAGATGAGTTTAATTAGTGAAGGAAGTAACAGGCTATCCAGTCACTAAAACTTTAAAAGAAAATTGTATCCCAGGTTACCTAATCACTAACTTAGTCATCTTCAGAAGTCCGAATAAAAGGGGCTTGGGGCATATAAGGGTTGATATGTGGATGTAGTTAGAGAATGTGCAGAGTAGAGAGAATTAATTATATAAAAGGCATGTCACCTATGGCAGTGGCTTTTAGGCCACCATCTATAGAGCTGAGTGATAGCTTTTTGGGCAACTAGAATTCAAGCAGGTCATGGAAAGGAGATGGGAGACAATGAAAGCAAACTCAACCTCAGCCACAGATTTCTTCGGACCTACCTAACTTGTATTCACCTAATCAAAAGAGATTCTAGTGCTGGCATGTTTTGACTCCCTCAGTTAACTCATCTTAGTGGATATCAGAGAAGGCGTCTCTACGGTCTGTCATTGACTTCGGGCATTAACCCTTACTGGGGAACAGAAGATGAACCTGAGAGGCTCTGTTCATAATGTCCTATGACTTCCCTTTAAGTGCCATCTGAGCCCAGCCTGAAATACTCATTTTTCCTTCTTAGATTCCCAAAGGACTTTAGGTAATGTATTGGGGCCATTTATTTATTGTTTATTCCCTTTATTGGTATTCATTGACTATTTCAAATCAAAAGAGCAAGATGCAAATTAATGGGAAAAAATTTGCTCCTAAGCAGAGCTGCTAGATTACACTTAAAGAAAGGGTAAAAAATGTTTTCTCAAGCTGACTTACTTTCAGAAATGGTGCTATTCTTGAGGGATTGCCTTTAGAGGTTAAACAATTTCGACAAAGGCCTTTTGGGTTCTTAATAACTCCCTTAAATAGGTCTTCTCAAAACTCAGAGAATAATTTAATCTTAGAAACCAATTAGTATTGTTCTAAAATCTCTGATTAAGCATGGTAGCTTCTCATATTTAATAAGAGAAAACCCTGACATTTCCTTTTTAGTTTATTCTGCTCTCTCAATTCTTTAAGATTTTAGGATTTCACAAGGTTGTCCTTGCCTTTAGGATTACCAGGCATTTCCCAGGCTGAGCCTGTTGGTTCCTCAGTGCTCTACTTTTTGAGAGCTGTGGATCTGTGGTTCTTTGAAAACCAACAAGGTGGCTATTTTGGAGCCAATCAGTCAGATGTATTGAGTAATGCTGTGTGTGCCTTTGACTCATTCTTTCATAGTACGTTATATGGTATCAAATTGAGCCCTGCACAAAAGAAGCCTGGAAGACCAATTTAATTTTGCGTATATTTATCAAGCTTATTAATAAAGCCCATGTATGTAGGACAGCCTCAAGTTCTAGGAATCAAGAGAAATGATGTTGGCTGAGATGGTAATCTAGGAATGGCCCCTTCCTCAATGATGCTGCTGTTCCCTCCATGGACAACCCCAAGCTTGGCTGCCTCTACCCTCAGCCCACATCCAATGGTTCTCCCTCCCTGATCCCTGGCCTTCAGCCACTTACTTATTCCTTTAGTAGATGACAATAATCAAAACCTAAGAAATAACTATTAGAGAGAGAAGTATAAAGCAACTTTAGGTTATCTACAGGACTCGGTCTCTAGAAGTCAGAGAAAGCTCTAGTCTTGAGTCTCACATTGAAGTAAGCCCTAGTTTGGTGGGTTTTGGACTGCTCACTGTCTGTGGTAGGCATGTCGGTGCTTTGCTTTTGAAGTTTAGAACATGTGCCACCACCAATAACTATGTGCTAGTCATGTTGGGAATAGATAAGAAGGCACTCTAGAAGAAAAAAATCATACCTGTGTGTTGGTTTGAATTTGTTTGGAATTATCAGGACCTCCAAAGGACACTGAAGTTATAAATGATTTATAATTGTTAATTTACTCCAGAAGACTGCTGGCATATGAGCAGTGACTCTGAGCCTTCTGCGTGCACTGACATAGCAGCTATCAGGCGGAGATGCTAAGGTTCAGGCATCTCTACCTCCTGTTAGGTAGAGATGGCCTCCCTGCTTTTATGGCCATGCAGACTCCAAAGTTTTCTGGATGCTTCCTATGACATGATTTGTCTTTTTGTTCATTCTGACGTAGAGAAAGCAGACTCTGCATTTTCTCCTTCCGGAAAGCCACACAGCATTCTTTCTTTCTACATGCGGAACTGGGCAAACTAGCCCTTGCACGCCCCTTTTCTGGGCCCTCCCTTGATTTCCTTGAGTGAAAAACACTGACTTTGGAGTCACATTTTAGAAAGAATTTCTTTCTTACATATTTGTGGAAAAATTTCCAGGCAGGGCTGTATTACACTTAATTTCATCCCAGTGGTTATGCCCTCGCAATCTATTGTTGGTCTCCTTAGCCAAACAAAATCAGGAATTCAGCTATCATTTTCCAGGTAACAACAGAACCAAGAAAAGGGCCTGAACTCTGTTCCACATTCAGGCTTTTGCCCTCATGGCCTTTAAGTTGCATTATTGCTTTTGTAAGTTTGGGGGACTGAACTTTTGACTCTTGTTCTACCTAAGACATGTGGTCCCATGTGGAAGCAGGCCTTTCTACATCATGGTGGTCACTACAGTGCCTTTGAGAGCAGACACGTGTGCAGAGGCCTGGGTTAGCCAGAAAGGCCACCTGTCCTGGGACCTGTGTGTTTTTTCCCAGTTTGACAGCCTCACCTGGTAACAGGTCCTTACCTGATCTAAACCACATTAACCACTCCTTCTCTAATAGCCTTAACTTGGTTGTTAGTCATCCTCCTGTAGCACCAATTTCATAAATCCCTGGTTGTAGATCAATCTCATGACCTGCTTGCAATGCTCTGGTTTCCCAGTTGCTGAGCAGAGTCCTGACATATACAGCTGCCAAGCACAGCTGGGAAAAGATTTATAGCCTCATGGGTTGGAGTCACCGCAAATGGATGAGCCCCAGACTTCTCCAGACTGGCCTGCCTCCTCCACCTCCGTAGTGCTTATCGGGATGTATGTTTCTCTTTAGATCCTTGTGCTCAGGCTCAGAGGATCAGTCTAGCTTCCCTCCCTGCTGTGGGCCTTCCTTCCTCTGCTCCTGTCTCCTCCAGGGTCTCGTTGCACAACTTACCTACGTCCCTAATCATGTTGGCCTTTCTATACTGTCTCTTTCTCTTTAGCCTTTCAACATGTTTAGCTTTCTTATATTGACTGTCAGTCACCTCTGGCCCTGTCCTATCTTTTTCCTTTCCTTCTCTGACAAATTTTAAAAGGAATAGTATAAACTTATCATCTTTATTAAATCCCATTTGCTCTTCAATTTATTGTGCTCTGATTTCTTCCTCTAGCACTCCACTGGAATTCCCCCTCTACTGGGATTAATCCAGGCCTCTGCAGACTCCTCCAGAAGTAAAAACACAGGGGCAGGTGGCCTATTTGGGAGGCAAAGGGAACACTGGGGGAGGAGGCAAAGTGAGACAAAAAAGGGAAACAGCCAATAAGAAATGCATTATCTAACCAGCTCCCACTGTGGGCTCCAGGAGCTTAGGCCTGCTGGGACCACAGAAGAGCAGCGTAGGACATGTACATCAGTTATCGCATCTGGGTGAAGGAACTGGAGCATTTATCCACCAGTTTTTGTCAGTC